GGGGCTGGCCGAAGCGGCTGGCGAGGTGGGAACGGAGCAGGAGGCGGCGCTGGCGCGGGTCGCTCCCCGGCGGCCCTTGCCTGGCGACCAGGGCGCGTACCCTGCGAGCATCGACGAGACCGAGTCGAGGAGGCCGGCCGACGTCTCGATCAGCGACCTACGGCATGCGAGAGGCGCGCGTCGGGGGAGGGCGGCGGCGGCGGCGGTGGCGGCGGCAGGCGTGCGAGGCGCGCCACGAGGAAGAGCGCTCCCTCTCCGCGGGCGATCCTGCCGCCTCGCCGCCGGCCGCCTCGCCGCCGGCAGCACCGGAGAGGTTGGAGGCGTCGCCGAGGCTCGGTGTGTCAGCGGGGCGGCCAGGCGTGGCCGACCGCTGCGGCGACGGCGGGGCCGACGAGGCGGGCGAGGGGATCGAGGCGAGCGACTGCGCGTCGTCCTCTCCGCTCTCTTCACCCGCCACTGCGCCGGCGGGTTGGCTGAGCGCCGGATTCGCTGCCGCAACCATGCGCTGCCGCTGCTCAAGAATGTCTGCGGGCGGCGGAGGGGCGTTCGGGGCGCCGACCGTGCTCGGCAACAGCAGCGAGCGGCCCTCCCGGGTCGCCGCCACGCGCCGCTCGCGCAGAGACGGCAGCTGCGAGCCGGGGACGTCTCCGCGCTCTGGCGCGCTCTGGCCGGCGTGCATTGTGTATCCTGGCCTCAACAAAGGCGGCGGCCTTGGCAGCGTGCATTTTCGGCGTCTGAGAAAAAATAGCGCTTTGTAAAAATGATTGTCCTTACAAGACTCGCTCCTCGCTTTGAATGAGTGGGCTGTGACGGCTGTCTGTTTACAGGCGCCGTCCGCCCGCGCGCGCGCCGACCCAGCTCCGAGCACGCTCGCTCGCCGCTGGGCGGCGCGCGTCCACACTGCGTCGGCAAAACGCGACGCAGGAGCTCGCTCGCTGCTGCTGCGGCGGCGGCAGCGACGGCGACTGCCGGCTCCCGGCTCCCGGCCGCCGGCTGCCGGCTGCCGGCGGCCGGCTGCTGCCGGCTGACGGCTGACGGCTGCGGCGAACGGCGACGGCTCGACTGGCGCTCGCTCCGCGAGGGTGCGACTGAGCCTGCCGCGCTCGATCTGGGAGCCACTCGGCGCCAGTTCGAGCGGCGGTCGGCTCGGCCACTGCGGGTGCGACGCATGATAGAGCATGCTGGGCGCTGCGTCATTTACTTACCGCTCCACGCCAAGGCGCGGGGCGGCGGTGCTCGCCGGCGCTCGCGGCGCTTCGGTGCTCGGGCGCGCTCGCCATTGTGGTTGTTCAGGGCGGGTCGCACAGCACACGCACACGCACACACACACACACACACACACACACACACACACACACACACACACACACACACACACACACACACACACACACACACACACACACACACACACACACACACACATGCATGCATGCACAGACACACAGCCCATTCCCCTTCCCCCGCAAGACATCAAGGACGAGGACACGACACAGGACGCACCTCTAGTGAGGCCCGCATAGTAATGTGGGTGACTCCTGCCGCCGCCCCTGCCACCCCTGTGTCAGTGTGCCTGTGGTAGTGAGAGACTGCCAGCGGGAAGCTGGAGGCAGGTCACTAGACTGAGATGAGACCGCCAGTGGAGTTGGGAGTCCACCGTGCACCGCGCTGCGAGCCTGACCGAGGTGGGCTTTCGGCTCCATTCGCACAGCGGTGCCCCACGCGGCGCGTCCTAGGGCGAGGATGAGGCGTCGAAGCGTGTACTTGTGTCTGGTGTTGTGGCCCTGCTGCGGGACGTTGACAGCAGCATCGCCATACTCGTCATGGGTCTTCTTGTTCCGAGTCTTCTTGCCCGCCGCCGCGGCCTGGCAGGCCACGTCGAGGGGGAGACCCAGGCGGCGCTGTACCGAAAGACGCATCGCCCAAGTCTCCATTCGCATGTCATCCCGCATGGGGATGGCGTTGAGGAAGGCGCCAGCGCCATCCTGGCTCACCGCCACGAAGCGGACGGCCTCCCGCCAGGCCGCGTGCCTCGCCCGTTCCCTGCCCTCGACACGCGCCTTGCCCTTCTTGCCGCGAGGAGCAGACCGCGATCCCGCGGAGCCCTCCTTGGCGAGCTCCTCGGCGAGGTCGCGCCAGTTCCTGTTGTGGACCACCGTCGTGAATCGCCGCTGCGCCTGGTGTAGGAACTCGTGCTTGGACGTGAACTCGGCGAGGGAGGGAGGGGCAGCAGCTCCTTGGCCGGGACGAGAGTATGCGGCCGGAAGCGCGAGAGCGCCACCCTCGTAGCCGGCTCCGGCGGCCGCGCGGAGGCGCGCAGCTTCTCGCCCTCGTCGGGCTCGTCCCACGGCTCCACCTCGACGTCCGGGGGCCTGCCTGTCGTACCGCCAACCAGGTCAAAGTACTCCGCCTTCGTCTTGTCGTCCCACTCCTTCCACGTCGCCGTGATCTCGCCGTGCTTCTTCTTGAGCCTGTCATGCGCCGCCCGCAGCTCGTCGAAATCGGAGCGCGCGTTGCTCACGTCAAGGTCGCGGAAAGGGGAGCGTGGAGAGGAAGAAACTCAGGTCACCGGAGTTCACATCGGAGGAGCTCTCCCCTCTCACACCTTTTGCCGGGCGCGCCTACTCGGGTTCCCCGGACGCCCCGCACACCCCCGCCCCTTCGCCCCGCCTCCGCCCCGCCCACTCCTCCCTCCGGGCCTGCGCGCGTCCAATATTCCGCCGCACGCCGACGCAACCCCCGCCTGCGTCCCCGTCGCTCCCCGCCCGCACGAGTCTCTCGCGCCCGCAGCCGCCCCGCCGCCGCCCCGCCCACCGGCCCGCCGCTCCCCTCCGTCTCTCCGCCGCCTCGCCGCCGAAGAGACACCGCCCCGCTCACCCCACTTCCCATCCGCTGTCGCTCACCCGCCCGCCCCTCCCGACCGTCCACAGACGCGCAGTTGGCAAATGTCGGCTGCGCGAAGCTACCGGCGCGCCCACCAGCTGGCTCGGCCGGCGGCGCTCTGCGCCTTGAAGTCCGCGCCTCGCCTGCCGGCCAGCTCTCCGGTGCAGAGGTCGGCGTCGGCCGCTCGCGCACTCTGCGTGCAGGCCCCCGGCGGCGGCAGCTCCCGGGAGAAGAACATGTGGGACGGAGGTGGCGAGGCCACTGGGGTGACGCCGTCTTCGCCCAACTATGGCGGCCCCTCTGCCGCCGCGGAGCGCTTCGCGGTCGAGTCGACCGCCACCGCCACCGCACTGCAAAGCGACAAGCCGCCGCCCTCGCTGAGCATTGACCTCCCAGAGAACTGGTGGCACGGCTCGGCGGACGCGCCGCCGCCGGAGCACTCCGACATGGGGACGGCGAGCCTCAACTCGGTGCTGACCGGCTCCGTGCAGTCGCTGTGGATCACCGAGCTCTGCCGGACGATGTCGCTGACCTTTGCGATGTTTTGGAAGGAGAAGGCGCGCGCGCCGCGGAGCAGGAGGGCGCGCCCTCGCCGCAGCGACTCTGGACAGCGATCGCCGCGCGGCCGTAGGTGACCATCAACTACCCCATGGAGAAGGGCGCGCTCTCGCCGCGCTTCCGCGGGGAGCACGCGCTGCGCCGCTACGCGACCGGCGACGAGCGCTGCATCGCCTGTAAGCTGTGCGAGGCTATTTGCCCTGCGCAAGCCATCACGATCGAGGCCGAGGTGCGGGCCGACGGTGCGCGCCGCACGACGCGGTACGACATCGACATGACCAAGTGCATCTACTGCGGCTTCTGCCAAGAGGCGCGCCGCCCGTCTCAAGATGGGGGAGAGAGGGGGGGGGGGGGGGCAGCCGTTTTCATCTCCGGCGCGTGGAGGCGTCCACCATGCCCTGCCTTGTACCCTAGGCGTGCCCCGTCGACGCCATCGTCGAGGGGCCAAACTTTGAGTACGCGACCGAGACGCACGAGGACAGCCAACGCACGACAAGCCCGATCTCTCGGCTGCATCTCGGGGATACCTCGTCCCTCGGCTGTAGGAGCTGCTTTACCACAAGCAGAAGCTGCTCGAGAATGGCAACAAGTGGGAAACGGCCATCGCGGCAAACATCGCGTCTGAGCACGTCTATCGGAAAGGGGCAAAGGGGGGGGGGGGGGGGGGGTCCCGTTCGGTTGGTTGGGCGGCTCGAGAGCGCGCCTGCCCCTCCAGCGGTCGCCCCCCCCCCTCCGCTGTCTTTTTCCATATTCCAAGCCCGTTGCACGTCGTCCGCAGGCTAGTGTGACGTCCCAGCGAACCGCCATTGGAACCGCGTTTGAGCCACACGTGCACGTGACACTTGGGTTCTAGCAAAATGTTCCGCGCTCACGTTTTTTAGCGCTCACACAGTCACACACGGTCACACACGCATATCACGCTCTGCAGCTCTGCACCGCGCCGGCGCGCAGGGCGCACCGGCGGCGGCCGGCGCGATGCACGGTCCAGCTCCACACGGACGATAGAAAAATGTGAATCCATTTAATGTGTGAAATGTGTTTAAAATATTCTTGAAAGTCTAGGAGAATCCGGAGAGGAAAATGTAGGTTAAAAGGCGGGCTCGCTCTCTCACCTCTCCCTGTTGCACTCTGGGGGCGGGCGGGCGGGCGGGCGGGCGGGCGGGCGGGCGGGCGGGCGGGCGGGGGCGCGGCGGGGGGAGGTGCAGCACCAGGACGCAGGACCGCAGGAGCGCAGAGTCACCGACGAGGCGGTCCGCCTGCCTCCTCGTGTCCCCCGCACCTCGCGCTCTATTCCGGCTCCTACACAGGACTGTTTGTTTTTGTACATTCTGCATCCATAAACTCGGAGCACTTTGTCTTTGACACCTCACTGAAGCGACAAAAACCTCTGAAGCGACGCCTGAATCCTCATATTCTGCAAAGGGGGCGTGGAACGAGAGTACACTCCTCCCTGCAGCTCACACAGCCGATATGTGGCCATGTGCACAAACCACGCCGAGCGATTTCCGCGAAAAATTAAGAAACGACGCCGAGCCGCAGGCGCAGCCCCGAGAAAAGTGGGCAGACACGAGTGTGAACGGGAGCCCCGGCTCAAATTTTCTCTTCGCTGGCTCGCTGGCTGCGGCGCAATGGTACCGCGTCTGCGACGCGGGCGCCTTGCGGGCAGAGCCCTTAGCCACCCTTCATATCTTGCGCGGTCAAAATAACTTGACTTCCAAAACCCGCACGTTCCCACTTCCCAGGGTGATGGAAGGTTCGACGCACCCCCGGACTGGGCAGAGAGATCCCAGGGTAAAGACGCTGGGCACTCCACCCCGCCCCCCACTTGCCCTGACGACTGCACAGGATTGCGTGCCCCGACGAACGGCGACACATAGCGGGGGCACTGCGCCGGGGGGTATGCCTAACTTTGGTGCTTTGTGTGGGTCGCGCGTTCCCCCATGGTAGCTGTCCCGCCCCCCCCTTGCCCTTCGGAGGTGGTTCGGCAAGCGGCTGACCCCTTGAGACAGCACTATCAAACTATTCGCCATAATAATAACACGTAATCGCAACACACACACATAAAATGCTTCTCGTCATCGCGGAGGCGTTCTGGCGGTCCGTCGCCGCTCCTCCAGCGCGCGCCACTCCTCGTCGGTGAGCTCGGCCACGTCGCGATGGAGGAGCGGCGCGGCGTCTGCGGACGCCGGCTCTGGCCGGTACGGGCGATACGTGACGAGAGAAGCGCCACGCGCTCGGTCGTACTCGACGTCGATGGGCTCGAAACCGCGCAGCGACAACTTGAACAGTCGGCGGCCGCGGATGCGCGGCAGCGCGGCGTCGCCATAGCGCAAGCGCCCGAGCTGCGCCTTCCAGCGCTGCAGGTGGAGGAACGCCGCCTCGAGGTAGCCGGCTGGGCCGCCCCGGGGCGCTGCCGCCACCACGCGCCGCGCGCTCCATGCGCCGTCGCGCAGCGTCACCTCGTACCCGACCGCCGCCTCATCCTCGCTCATGTTTGCGCACAGCCGGTAGCGCTCCTCGATCCACCGCGAGCAGTTGGCGTGGATCGCCAGCGCCACCGGCGCGCCCTGGGTCCGCTGCAGTGCGGGCCTACGTGAGAGAGCGGAGGGGGGCGGTTAAGACGTGGATCATACAACGCCGGCGGGCCTCGTCGAGACTGCCGTCTAGAGGGATCATGGCGCCATTCGGTATCCAAATGGCGTGGCAACCTCCAAACGAGCAGGGATCTAGGAATTCCGCATCTACGAGTGCGCACAGCGCGTCCGAGAGAGGAGCTGCGGCCGGCGCGAGCGGCTCGCAAGCCGCTTCGCCCACCTAAGCAGGTCAAAGGGTGTTGACCAGTGCCCGCATGCGCACAATAAACAGGGCCCCGAGCGAGAGCGAAGAGTGTCTCGCCTCTGGGGGCGAGATGGAGCTGTGTGTGGGGGGTCGGGAGTGTGCCATCTGGGGCGAATTGGAGCTGTGGGGGGGGGACTGGGGGCGGGAACTGGATCGCGTAGGGCCGCCCGCCTCATCGGCCCACGGGTTGGAGAGGTCGAGGGGCGGCGCCTGGACGAGAGTGCCGAGAAGGGGTTTCCGAGAAGGCTTGGGGAAAGCAGCGGAGGATGCACGGGTTGAGAGTTAGGGGTGGCACCTCGCCCGGTGGTAGCCACGTCTGCGTCGGCTGCGGGCATCGGCGCACCGCGCCGTCAACCTATTCACACTCCTTCGGATAAATGACGCCGTCCGTTGCGGGCAGCGGCGCGCTGCCCGCCCACCAAATAAAACTCGCGGTCGTCGCTCCAGTCGGCGAACGCCTTTGCCGCAAACTTGAGCCGGATGCCAGACGCGCTCGCAACGGCATGCGAGTAGCACCCCTCCGCCGATAGGAAGCGGGTTCGGCCGTGCTTGCCCTCTGCGGCGAGCCGCTTAACCAGCATGTGCTTGGCCTCGAGCTCGTCGAGCAGCCCCGCGCCTGTGGAGCAGTCACGTCGCGCGTCACCGCAAACCCCGTCGCGGCTCCAGCGAATCGACAGCTGTCGCGCGCCGAGGTGGTGGCAAGCGGTCCAGAGGCGCGCGAGGCGCGGCGTGTTGCGGTGCAGACTAAACTGGCCGCGCAAGTAGAGGCGGAAGGCGTCGCCAAAGTGGTACGTGACGACGTCATACTCGGTCAGCTCCTCGAGGGAGAGGTGGAGCGGCAAGTCGCCGACGAGGACGTCCGAATCGGTGTACGACCTACAGCGTCGTGTCGCGCTCTCAGCGGTCATGTCACGCACAGGTGCCGCCCCGAGTTGGTGCGATGACCAGTGCGAGTAGCCAGCGAGGTAGTCGGCAAACACTGTGCCGTGGGTCGGCTTGTACTCGGTTATGATGTAGGCGAAGTCGCGGAAGGCGGCCCGGAAGAGGTTCATGTACCTGAGCGGACGTATGTCATGGGGGACACTCGGGCGCGGGGAGCATATGCGGGCGTGTAGCGGAGGCGGGCCGCGCACCGCGTCAGCTTGTTGGTCGCGCCGAGGGCGGAAGCGAGCTTGAGGCCAAAGAGCGAGCCGAGGCCGCCGCGTCCGAGGTCAAAAAAGAGCACGTTGGGCGGCACCTACATCCGAGAGGGAGACGAGAGCTAGGCTGGCACCGTCGAGGGTGAGGGGGGCGGAGCGGGGCGGCACCTCCCCGGCGGGCGGCAGCCGCGCCTCCTCGTGAAAGATGAGCCAGTCGACGAGGTACGACGAGCGGTTCGTCGACGCGAGGAAGTAGGGGAACCAGGAGGGAAAGGTGCTCCCCACCCACGGAAGCGTGAGCGCGAGCCGCAACCGCGGGTGTACCTCCCCCACCGCCTCCCGCCGCCGCGCGAGCAGTGCCTCCGACGCGGCCGCTGGCCCCTCCGCCGCGGCGCTGGCGTCCGGGGCCCCGAGCGAGACCACGGTGCTAGCAGCCCGCTGCCGCGCCTGCTGCGGCGGCGGCGGCTGGTTCGGCGGCTGGGTCGATTGTGGCTTCGGCCACGTCACGCCCGTGCTCGCGGGTGCAGCCTGCCGCCCTTGCGGCTGACCCCCGGTCCGCTGCTGCTGTGGCGGAGGCGGAGGCTGCCGCAAGCGTGCGCCACCGCGCCGCTGATGCACGAGCTCGTCGTCAAAAGGGAGGGCGTCGTCGCGCGGCGCACCTGGGTACGTGGTGCAGCCAATGATGAGCGCCGTGTAGCGGGCAGGAGGTGGGGTAGGGGGTCAGCGTGAGTATCGGCAGCTGGTGAGCGCACCAGTGTCCCCAAGGTCGTCGACGTCGAGTGGTTCGCTCACCCCAGCCATGAGGGCTGCGCGGGAGACCGAGGAGATGAGAGGGTCAGGGCACGTGGACGTGGACGCAGAGCGGAGTGTGAAAGGGAAGGGCAGCAAGACCTGCGCCGACATGTGAGGCACGGCGGCGGACGGCGGTTGCGGTACGGCGTACCCACTCCTTGTGCGTCTCGAGCTCGTTCCACGTGAGAAGCTGCGCAAGGTTCAGCCCCAGCGAGAGGAGCACGAGCAGCCACATCAACTTGCCCACCCCCCAACCGAGGCACTGGCGGCAGCGCCCGCCGCGAGGCCGAGGAGCGGGCGACGTCGTGGGCGGCGGCGCCTGCGCCTCGATGTCGTCCTCCTCCTCGGCGAGATGGGGAGACGTAGATATAGGCGGCCGCTTTCGATTGTTGCCTCTGCCGGGCCCACGCCGAGGCGTTTGGTGTGTGAGTCGCTCGTGGGGTGTGTGTCTCCAAGTCGAGCAGACCCGGCCCGAGTCGTAGCTCATGCAACGAGCAGCCACTGGTCACAGCGGACACACCTTTGGGGACGCTTTGCTCAATCCCTGTGATTGGCGCAGTCGAGAGGAGTGTCTCGAGGGGGCGAAGACCGGCGGCAATGTGCAATATCCGGCGGCCATGCCCTCTCAAGCAGGTGTATATTATTTTTGCTTGGGGCGGCCCTCATGATGAAATTCTGGAAAAACCTGACCGGCCCCTGCGGTGCCCCTACCTACCTACCTACCTACCTACCTTACTTATGGGAAACTAAAAAAGAAAACACTCGATGGGTGAAGGTGGGGTACTATACCAACTAGAGTGATGGTTGGTGGTACTCTCCTGCAACCACAGTCCTTCTTGTGACATGGCAGGCCACTCTCAAGCCCTACAAGCACCAGATCAACGACTTGGGGAGGGTTGACATCGTGATTTGGGCGGAAAATTTCTTTTTCTGCTGTGAAAATTCCGGCGTGAAGAGAGGGAAAAACCCGACGGGAGGGCCCAGACCTACCCTACCTACCCCGTCATGAGGGCCGCCCCAAGCAAAAATAATATACACCTGTCTCAAGAAGAATTTTAGAATCTTACAAAATGAAGTTACTCACTGCACTCCAAGTGCTCCAAGTGCACCACACGCTCGCGGCGCGCTGTGTGGTGGCGGCGTGCCGTCCTCCCATCCCTCCCTTGGCGTGTCTTTTTCTTTCTTTCTTTTTCGCGGCGCGCTCGTGGCGTTCAGGGCGGCTCGCACAGCGCCCACACACGCACACAGCCCCTTCCCCTTCCTTCCCCCACAAAAGGGCGAGGACACACACAGGCAGGACGCACCTCTAGCGAGGCCCGCATAGTATGTGGGAGACTCCTGCCGCCGCCCCTGCCACCCCTGTGTCAGTGTGCCTGTGGTTGCGAGAGACTGCCAGTGAGAAGCTTGGAGGCAGGTCGCTAGACTGAGATGAGACCGCCAGTGGAGTTGGGAGTCCACCGTGCACCGCGCTGCGAGCCTAAATGATTTCTTTTTTAGTTTTGAATCCTTTTTGTAGTTTACCATAAGTAGGGTAGGTAGGTAGGTAGGTAGCGGTGGGTGGGGGCAAGGGGGCCGGCCGGGGTTGCCAAATTTCAGCATGTGAAGGTCCGGCCAAGCATAAAACCAAGAATTTAACCAACCCAACTCTCTCGCACAGCACACAGGTTCGACACAGGTACCAAAAGAGGCACAGCCGGCGACGAACCCTTCAAAGGCGCCGTTTGTCCTCATAAAGGTGGGCACGTCGGCACGACCGGGGGGACAGTTCATCCCAACCCCCCCGGCGACCCCCTCGCCGCTTGCCCCGCCAACGGGCACTGCGCGACCCACCCTCGCGCCCCCCGCCAGGAGCATACCGCATCACCCCCGCCCGCGCCTTGTCGAAGAGAAGAGTCTCTAGAAGCTCTCCCGCCTTCACCGCCTCCTTCCACCCCTCCGTGTCCTGCAGCATTCGGCCGCCATCCCACAGCACCGGCCCACAGGCGGCGTAAGCCATCTGCTCCAGGTGCTTTTTGCACTGTTTTGCTCATGGAGCAAGTGGCTGAAGTCACCTGCATTTTTGTGCAAAAGGCTCTAAAATGGCCGAAATCCCTGGTGGCGCACGTGGCGATTGCCACGTGTGCCTCGGCTAAGAGGCCTCTCCAGGCGAGAGTCAGGTGGTTGGCCTGTACGAGGTTTTCCGGAAAACAAAAAGGAAAACAGAGGGTCCCCAGCACTTTGCGTTGCCGGAAATTTCCAGGGAAAACAGAGGGTGTTTGGTGCTCCATTCTGGAAACTCGCGAGTTTCCCTGAGTCTGAGAGCTGGTCTGGGGCAAAATCTGACGCAAAATTGAGGAATCGACAAAATACCCAGGCGGTCGCAGGGTAATTTCCAGGTCTACACGGGTTCTCCGCAAAATTCCCGGCATTTTGACGATTTGGCCTTAAATTTGGCTGATTTTGGGCCCAAACCAGCCTCAGACTCGGCTCAGCCCCCCCCCCCCCCCAATTTGACGATTTCCACGGAGTTTTCCCGGGAAAATAGAGAGGAAAAGAGAGGGTGCTGTAGAGAAAAAGGAAAGGAAAACAGACGGGGTGCGAGAGGAAAACCTCGTACAGCCTAACGCAGGTGGCACGACGCGAGTCAGGTGGTGTGGAGCCTCCTACCTGAGCCCATCTCTCAGCGGTGTGTGTGTGTGTGTGTGTGTGTGTGGTGTGTGTGTGTGTGTGTGTGTGTGTGTGTGTGTGTGTGTCGTGTGTGTCGTGCGTGTGTGTGTGTGTATGTGTGCCGGTGTGTGTGTGTGCCCCCTGCCCCGAGGGCGCGCCTTTTGTTGTGCAATGGCATCTTTTATTTTGTGCGGAAAAAGCACCCCGATGCCGAATGTATCAACGTTCATGCCCGCGCGCTGCTGCTGCCCGCCATGCTTCCGGTGATCAGTCGAACTGTCTGCAGTCGCAGATGCCCTGCAGCACCTCGGTCAGCTGCGCCGAGTCGATATCTCGCGCCATCCCTTCGAGCGTTGGCAGCGCGAGTGAGGCAATGAGGGCCTTGGCCTCGTCTGCGTCCTCGGGGCAGAGGTTCCCGAGTTGCGCCACCTCAAACTCGGCGATGGGCTGCTTCTCCAGCTCGCTGCGCGCGGCGGGGGGCGGATTGGGGACACGCGTGAGCGTCACCGCCGCTTGCCGCGGCTAGGCGGCCAAGTGGGAAATGGCTGGGCGCGCGCACGTTCGCACGCGCGCCATGACCTCCTTGGTCCTAAACTGCTTGACCCGGTTGACGTACTCGAACGCCTTGACAAAGTTGCTGCACCGGGGCGCGCGGGGGGGGGGCTTGCATGTGAGAGGTGGGGCGCCCCACCCGCTAGGTCGTCATGGGTCGTCATGGGACCCGGAGGGGGGAGGGGGGGGGGGGGGGGAGGCGCACGTTCCGGGCGTCTGCCCTTTGGCGTTGGACGCCTGCAGCTTGTGCTCAAGGATGAGGGCCACCTCCGAGTTGAGAAGGCACCGCCCGTCTTGGAAATCTGCGCGGCAACCGGCGGGCGGGCGACCGCTCGGCGCGCGACCCGGCGCGGCGGCAGCGGAACAGGTGGGTGTTAGATGGCGTGGGAAAGGCGGGCGCGTCGGGCGCACGACCTTCGCCAAGGGTGAGCGTCGCCGCGTCAGCCTCGGTGCTTTGGGCCGCTGCAGCTGCCGGCATAGCGCAGCGTCAGGAGACCTATCAAAGACGGGTTGGGCGTGGCGGATCCGCCTAGGTGGTGGGCGTGACCTCCTGGACGTGCGGCGCGATAGAGGAGCGCGTGTTTTTTCTACGTCATTACCCGACTTTGCCAACGGCAACAGGCAGTGTGAGTGCCGAGGGCCATGGGTGCGCCGTACTGGGTGCGATCTGGCCGGGATCAGTGAACGGCCCACGGGAACTGTTGGGGGTGCGGTGCTCTCGCAAACCCGCGCGGCGCGCCACGCCCAGCCACACCTCGACGGTTCGGGCTCCCTGCTGACAGGGTGCGCTGCGTTTTACAGCAGTGTGTGTGTGTGTTGGCCGCTTTGTGTATCTCGAGACCTCGAGAGAAGGCCGCCCGCAGGCCTCCCCGAGGGCCCAAGTCAAGAATTGGCTTTCTTTTGGCGGGCAAGTGTGTGTGTGTCTCACACTCACACTCACACAACGAGAGAGAGGCAGTTGACCCGCCATAAAAACGGTATGGCGGTGGAGTGCTCTCTACTGCCGCGGCGCCCCTGTCGGTTCCCTTGGTACCGACGTCGACCGGCTGCTCTCGCGGTCGGTGCCGAGACGTGCCGCTTTGGTCACGTCTCGCGCCGCTGCGCGGTGTCTTTTGGCATGTGAGCGCTTGCCATAGACGCCAGGATGATTGGCTTCCACGCCTGCGGCCGCGGGCGAGCGGGCGGGCACGCCAGGCTCGGCGACACTCTGCGCGGGTCTTCGAGCTCGTGTACTCGAACCCGCTCACCTTCGACGGCGCTGACCTCTCGCCGATACTACTGCCCGACATCGTCACCTCGTTCCCCTACCTCGGCATCATTACGAGGCACGGCGGCGACAACGGGGCGGTGGACGCGCGGATCGTGTCGGGCAGCAAGGCGTTTGGTGCGCTACGCGGCTGTCTTTTCGCCTCGAACTCGGTCACTCGCGCAGCCCGACGTGTGGTGTATGAGGCCGTCGTGCTCTCGATCACCCTCTACGGCTGCGAGTCGTGGAGTCTGACCGAGGTGCTGCTCGGGCGGCTGCGCCGCATGCACGCGTTGCACGTGCGAGGCATGTGTCGAGTCACGCGTAAGCACATGTACATGTGGGACCATCACATCTCGACGTGTGAGCTCAGCCAGCGGCTGGGGCTCCGACTCGATCGACATGTACATGTACATCGCCCGCCGCCAGCTGCGCTGGCTCGGCCACGTCGCGCGCATGGACTACGACCGGCTGCCGCGCCGCATGCTCTCCGCGTGGGTGCCCCACCGGCGGCCCATCGGTGCGCCGCGCATGACCACAGCGCATGACTTACGGGCGGTCGATCTTCAAGGCACTCGCGAAATTCGGCATCGACTCGGCGCGCTGGCATCTACTCGCGGCTGATCGCGCTGCGTGGCGCGAGACGCTGCGGTCAGGCCTCGCCCCGGCCGAGTTCCGCCCGCCTCCGGCTCCTCCGTCGCCCGAGCGCATCTCGCGCACTAAACCCGTGCGGGGCTGCACCGCGGCCACGATGGCCCGCGTTAGCGCTTCGCTGCGCCTCTTGGCTTGAGTCAGGCTTCGGGCCTGGCCTAATCACTCGCGCGCGGGTGTGCCTGCTTGGCTCAAGCCAAGAGAGATCTCAAGCCAAACAACAACAAACACTTAGAGAGAGATTTTTAGCAATACCAAACAACTCTAACACTCACACGTCATTTGGGGCCTGGAGCCCTGTTCACGCGCGCGCGAGACGTGCAGACAGGGTTGCCAGGTGAGAGCGAATGGCGCGGTTCACGCCTCGCACAACAGAGAGAGAGATGCGCTCT